AACATCTTTTGCTTTAAGTCTGCCTTTGTGCGTTTTTGCTCTCAAATCAACTGTTTTTAGGATCTTTGGTGACAACCTCTGGCATCTCTGATTTTGAGGCGTTTCCAAGCTTTTGCTTCATGACATAAATACTTGTGGGGGGTAGGCTAAACCTTCATGACTTAGCCGCCGCAATTTGGAGGTAGTTTTCACAAGTCCTTTGTCATTTCAGCCTAGTATAACTCTGCCTAACTCAAGTTAAAAATTAACATTGACTTAACATGGTTAGCTAAAAGTTGACAATTTTTACTAAAACATCTACTTAATTTAACAAGTTATAATTGTTTAAACCCTACTTAAACCCTACTTATAACTTGTTACAACTAGTTCACATACATTTATAACTTGTTATTAAATCATTTAACATCGATAACATGTTATAAAAAACAGATTTATTAAGTAGGCATAGTGAGTGCGTGGCCGAATGCCTTTACTCAGCGAAAACTTCGGCTAAATGGTGCAAAGGCGCGCCTGGTGCGCAGGTGGGTGCGTTTTCAATCTCAGCCCCTTCGCAACCGCTGGGTCATGCACGCTGGCGGTTCGAGGTTGCAAACTCAACGGGGCGTTCAGCTATTTCCTCAAGCCATCCTCGGCCCACTCACGGCAGCCGGACAACTCCTTATATGGCGCGCGACTGCTGGATGCTGCGGACGTCGGTGTAGGTCCGCTTCTCCGTGGTCTTTGCTGAGGTGTTCAGCGCTGACTGTGTCAAAGCTTGCAGTCAGTCACTTGAAGCTGCTGGACGCGCCATGAGCTCATGTCTTTGGAAGGCACCTCGCCTGTCAGGTGCAGCAGACAAAGCGCTGCAGCAGACTGTGGTGGACCTGTTGCCCCGCTCAGTGCTGAATTTAGCGGAGCGGGGTGTAGTGATCGCCGCCAGGCAGCCTCGTTCTGACGAGCACTACTGGGCATTGCCCGTGAAGGATCAGCGTAGCCGAGGACCACTGAATTGAAGATTGGTTGATGGCCACGTTCTGGAAAACCATGCCTTTCTCTTTGGTCTGGGCGACCTCGAGGTGAAGGCTGCCTCCACATGTCGGCTCGACATGTAGCAACTTTTGCCAGAACTGGCCAGGTTGGCAACGCTGGTCCACTCATCAGCACCAGCGCGGCGTGCAGAATGGCGAGCGGGCCAAGGAGCAGAAGGCACCGCTGCCAACGAGGCAAATTCGCGAGCATGCGGCAACTGCTTGGGCAGCAAAAGGCGTGCCTGTACAGGGCTCAGTCCAATCGCAGGACCCTGCGCGAACACTGGGTGTACACTCGGGAAAAGAAGCCTTCGATTTGAAAGCCACATGTTACGCGCTCGAAAAAAGATGCCTTCGATTTGAACGCCATATGCGACGTGCAGAGTCTGCCAGCCTAGCTCCAACTAAACAGCCTGAATGTGGGATTTGGATGTAACTAAACCGGCGCTTCCCCTTCCGGATATCAGCTATACAATTGCAGCCCTCTTCGTCGAGCAATCGACTGCAATGTAGGATTTCCCCCTGCTTCAAACATACCAATGTACACACACACACGCCTCCCTGGGAGGGGGGCGAAAGATTAACTAGGGCTCCGACGTCGGCGCAGCGCGCGGACAATAGGGACATGAAAAGAGGACAAGACAAAAAGAGGGCGGTTGCAATGAAAGCGAGTGGACAGGGACCACCGATGAGCCCAAGCCTGGGCCACCTGTAACCTACTTTACATGTACAAGTGCACGTATACGCTAAGGGCCGGACCGATGCGCGCGCAAAAGAAAGAAAGTTGTGAAATGACTTGAAGGCGGTAAAGACATGAAAAGAAGGACGAGAGGAAGGGCCAATGGACCTTGGAGTTTCTCGCCGTGTCAAACTGACGTACTACTCCACCCGCTGTCAGCCTACTCAAGCTCTGTCCACGTCGTCAAATCTTAATCTCCGTTTGGCGTTAAGCCTAATCCGTCCGCTGCGGACTACTCTGCTCTCCGGCCGGAAGAAGGAGACAAAACCTTGCCCGTCAAGGCCACAGGGGCACTTGTCGGGTAGACCCTCAGTCGGGAAAAGAAGCGTTCGGTGTGAATGCCACACGTCACACGGAAGCCTAAGTGAACCTTCTGGATATCAGCCCGCAAACGCAGCGCTCTTTGTTTGGCAACCGACTGCAATGGGGTTGCCCCCCTGCTTTGAAAAATACCAACAGGTAACCTTTGACCTCAAGGTGTACACACTACACACAAATTATATTTATATATGCTCTTCCGCTGCTTCCGCTCTTCATTGGTTTACTCTTTCTATCGGCCGGATGGTGAATGGCAACAACAAATGTGAACATCCAGCAAAAGAAAACAAAAGGACGCATACAAACAAATATACAAGACCCTACTCGCCTCAGAATGTAGCTACTCTCTTTGAAACCAAGGTCTTTCGTTCTTTTGCCACCACTTGTTTTTCTTTTCGTCTTTCTTCGTACCTCCTTTCACGTTTCCACACCTTGTGAAGGCGATAGCCGTGGTAAAACGGAATGATGTCATCCCGCTGCCCGTGCATCACAAATAAAGGGCACAGCAGGTGTCTCACCCGCCTAGCTCCAGCTAGAAGAGAATACTTCATCATTTGATTCCAAACAACGGGACAGAAATGTAAACAAAGTAAACGCAACTATAACAGTAAACGCGTCGTTTGCATTCGCTTGCAGTGAAACAAAACGGCCTGTCATTGGGGTAGAAGTCGAAGCAACTCCAAACGCAACTCGGTCGGCAACAAACGTCCGGTTTGGGGTCCACAACCTGCCCAAACCACAAGTCAACAAGAACGCGGGCGTCAACGTGTGTGTTTTTCAGAAAGAAATCTCACACGTCAAACATGTGTCCGGTGTGCTTTCATTTTTTCTTCACAACTCAGGCCTTGATTCCAGAAAGAAGTGGCCTCAAACAGCAAAACCAAACCATAGTGGCCTCTTGGAGAGTTTCACACACAAAAATTGACCCCAACAAAATGAAGCGATGGCAAATAGCGCGAGCGCTACCGTGCGTCCAGTAGCTAGTCGCTACCTCTTACTACTGGGTACCTGACGGCCTAAACCCTGGGCAAAAAAACAAAGTCCGAATTACGCCAGGCGGCAGGAAAGAGGAGCAGGTTTTGCGCCAGGGAAATACAAAGGGTCTGTATGTGTCTGCGCAAGCGTATGTCTGCGCGCGCTTGCATACGCATACGCGTCTGTGTTTGTGTCTGTCTGCATCGCTCCCTCGCTTTGGGTCCCTGTCACTCTCAGGCAACCTCCGATCAAGCGCAACTTTGCTTCACGCCGGACGCGTCCGTTGTTTGGCTGTGCTCACAACAGTATGCAACCTGGCGGATGCAAAATGCATGCTGTCGTCCTGGTGGGCGAAAACTACGCGCATCAAGAGTTGTATGCTGCGATAGCCGGGTGGGCATGGTGTGAAAACTGCATGCGTTGAAATCATCGCCTATCGTACAGCATCAATCATCTGGTAGTTGGCGCCGCAGCTCCACAGTAATGTCGACCTCATAACAATAAATGCCCCCTGAATAATGTTAAATTTTTCCAAAAAAGAAATAATGAATGTTCCCTAAATAATGCTAATTTTTTTGGGATCTTGTTTTTGGGGCTGACTCCAAAACTTAATATGTTTTTACTCTCAGCTGCTTCCAAATCTGATTCTGAGCTTTCAGCTGCTTCCAAATCTTGATTCTGAGCTCCAGGCATACACACCACACACTCTGGAATATTGATTTGGCTGCTGCATGTTTCTTTTAAAATTGCTTATTTGGACATTGCAATTTGCAACCTGAAATCAACCCACAAAGACCACCCCCCACGAGCAGCCCAAACCTTCAACTACTCTAGACCTCAAATAATACTAAACAATCCCTGGCTGGTTCTTTTGGCGGTTTCCTTTACAATTCCTTTATTTAGATTTCCTTTTGGTTGAACAGCTTGAGCTTTATTGAAGGCAATACTTTCTGGATGTCTGACTTCATTTCGTTTCTTGGCAATACTTTTTGGATGGCAATATTTTCATTCTCCGTTCATTTCCCTTTCATTTCCTTGGTTTCCCTTTCATTTCCTTTTCTTTCCATTTATGTTCCTTTCATTTCCTGTTATTTCCTTTCAGTCTTCTTTCATTTCCTTTTGTTTCCCTTTCATTTCCTTTTCTTTCCATATATTTTCCTTTCATGTCCTTTTCTTTCCTTTCATTCTCCTTTCATTTCCCTTTCATTTCCTTTTGTTTCCCTTTCATTTCCTTTCCTTCAATCTCCTTTCCTTTCCTTTCATTTCCAATGCAAATCAAAATTTTTCTAGGATTTTTCTGGATTTCACATTATTTGGGGCCTGCGCTTGATCAAGGGGGGGTTTATTGTTTAGAGGCGGACATTACAAAAAGCCAGAAAACTTCACAGGCGCAGGAACAGGAATCAGAAGCAACACATTGCGGGGCGTACTTGGGCGACGCCATAGGGTTTTGGCCAGTCTGTTGCCGTGTTGGTTTTCGGCGCCCTTGGATGCTTCCACAGCGTTCCGAAGTCTTTCAAGGAAGCGTCGCTGTGGAGCCGATGGCCCGGAGTGAAAGGAAAGGTCGGCAGCGCTGCCCTTTTCGCACGCAATGAGGAAAGCGCATCTCTCGGATCCACAGCTTTTGAACACGCGTTTGATCGCCTTTGAACACTACTGTAACTGGACCTTTTTCGTTTTTAAACCTTTTAAGGCCCTTTCTTCCATCTTTGAACATGTTCTTTGCCTCTCAAGAGGCCTGACTCGCCCGCCATCGCGGGTGGAATGTTGCCCGGGCTTTAACGGTTTCAAACTCCGTTTTTGTCAGAACAAGCAGCCAACTGGAACAAAGAACAAAACAAGGAAAAAACTCTATGCCAGCAACATGAGGCGAGCGCGCCTATCGGTGAACAAGACGAAAAGAGGAAGAGATTGCGACAGGGGAAAGGGAGGACATGCGGAGGGGGCTTGCAATGTTTTCTACGTTTTTCGTGTTCGATCTTTACCTGAAAAATTTTCCTGCTTTGCCTCCGCTTCAACCCACTGAGTTGACCATCTTGGTCGCTTGGACAATCATCTGGGTCCACGAAAATGATATCCAAAATCGACTTCATGTCAGGTTTGACGTGCAAATATTTCCAAATGCGCCCGATTTTTTTCGGTTCCAAGTCTTTTGAACTTTGAGACGCCCGCGGACTGTTAACTTAACAAACTTCCGACAAGGCCGAAACGTTCGTTTTTTTCATATTTTTCATTCTGGATTTTTGCAAGTGGCTAGGGAACTACTAGCAGAGATGCAGAAAGGCAAAGGTTCAGGCTCTTTGATTTGGTTGGAGATTTCATATTTCCCTTCGTTCGTTCTTCTGTGTTTTTTGTTTTTTCTCTATTTCTGGATTTTTCATATTTGCATTGTTTGCTTTCATTCTGTCATTTTCTTTCATGTTTTCATTTAAATTGGTCTGTTTGGTTTTCTGTCTCGCTCTCTCTGTCTCCCCTTCTTGCTTGCAATGTCATCTCTCTGGGTGCCCCAGACGAATGCAGAACCACGCCGCCTAATGGTTTCTTTGATGCCAACGCAGTTGCCGGGCCACTGGCGCAGGCAGGGAGAAAAAAACGCACGTCGTCAAACGAATCAAAGCAACAGAAGCATAAGGTTATCGTACCACGCTCAATATCAACCTGTCGGTTAAAAAATGAACGCTTCCCGCTGCAGATGCAAAACTTCTCACGTCGCCTTCCCACGCTTTGTCCATAGGCAACAATCCTCCGCGAAGGCGTCGAAAGCGCAGCAAGCGTAGCTTGTATTTGTGTGTTCTCTTTGCGCCATAAGCACTCCCTATGCGCCGATAAACTGGCAACTTCGTAGTGCAAGGAAGCAGCTCCTTGCAACTTTTTAGTGCAAATGCAGTGCGGGAAGCAGCTTCCGGGAGCTGGCCTCACGCTTGCATTTCTGGGGGTTTGGCCTCAGAACGTGCAACTTTGTGGTATATAGTGGCCTCAGAACTGGCAACTGCGAAGCTTTTGGGAGCACATTGTACTACACACGTCGCGTCTAGTCTGCGGCACACCGCGGCAAAATTTTTGCGATGCCCTGCGCCACGCACAATTTTTGCGTGGCCGCTCGAAAGCGTGTTTGCATGAGTCCGCGCCGTTGGGGAAAGGACACAAAAGTTAATTTCGCGATAACTAGCTGTCAAATCCAAGTAATCAGCTGTCAATGGTTTGGCTTTAGCCAAGCTCCATTACCAGATGTATCACCATGGTGCACCAGCAGTGGATGCATCACATCCTATAGTATATGAGCATGATGCGCCAGGAAGTGGGCACATCACATCCCACTATTTACAGAAAAGGTTTTGCAGTGTGTGTGTGTGTCCACCCCTGGACAAAGGGTCCTTTTCCACCTTTTACCTTTCCACATGTTTCACCACTGTTCCACAAGCAGGGGCGCACGGCATCCATGACCTACCGTGTGCAACGAAGCTGCGGTCATGGGTGGGAAGGGAAGGCTGATCACCTTCCTGTACCTGCTTTCAACACACTGACTCCACTGGTCCACCCTGCCGCTGTTCGTTGATTTCATGGTTCTTCATGCCTCCACCCCCCAAACAGGTTTCTTTCAGCCGCTGAGCCGTCGATCGTCCGCAGATGTGCAGCGTCTGTTCAGCAGAGCGAGGGAAACTATGTTAAACAATTCAAGTGATCTGACCCAATCACCCTGCCGTTCCCTCACCTTCCTTCCCATCGTGGCAACAGAGTCACTGAAAACCAATGTCAGAGTGTGTTTCGCTCAGCCGTCCCACTCGGGTGCTGAGTGTGATCCCCGTCACAGGGGCGCTGTTTTTGCGTGGGAAAGCAACAATCACAAAGCACCACTTCTCATCGGACCCTCACAGGCAGTCACCGACACCCTCACAGAATCAACTGATTGAATGGCCGCCGGGCCCAAACACGGCAGCTTTCGTATCTTTTGACCGATCTTGCAAGAGTTCATGTCATTTCATGTCATGCTTTGACTTTTATGGATTGTGTTGGATTTGCGCCGTAACCTTGTCAGAGAAACTCAAGCTTACCTACTGGAGTTCTCTAATTCGAGATGCATGACCACACGCCACACATTACATCAAGCCCACATTTACAGCCTAACTTCTCTCAACATGAACACTGTGACTCTCAGCTTCACCGTGACCACAACATTTTTGAGATCTCAGCCGCATCACTGCCGCTGCGCTGCGCCGTGCCATTCAGAAGACTTTACTGCACCGCGCTGACGTTTCACAAGCAACTCTGTGGATCACAACATGCAGTTCCCCTGGCCGTACTCCCACGCTACTCCACCACCACTACCAATTACGCAACCTCAGCCGACATTGCCGCTGACGCAGCCACATACTGCACCTACTTTCCCGTCACCACATCCCTCGGCGTATCCTTTTCCACAACCACAACCCTTTCAAACTCCACCTACCATGCCGATTCCCAATCCCACCACGATGCCCTACAGCAACCCCTCAGCCTGGACAATTGTCCATCCAGCTCAACCGCCACCACAACCCACACACCCAACCCCAGCCTTCTCATCACCAGCACCTCCTCCTTCCTACCTGGTCCAACAACTGCATCACACACCACCCACAGACCCTACAAACACTACAGCACTCCAATCACCTCCAGCACCACCACAGGCAACAATTGCCCACCATCCTCCCACAGACCCACAGTGGCCTATGCCTCAGGGAGTTTGGCAACCTTATTCGGCATTTCCACCAGTCACACAACCTTCACCGCAACCTTTGCCTCCACCACCACCTCCATCAACCATCAGCGACTCACCGCCTGCTCAACCACCACCTCAGCAACCAGCACCATCAGAGCCCCCTGCACCAGTCCCCAAAGTCGCCACGTCAGGCACCGGCTCCCAACAACCATCTCCTTCACCATCCATTGCATCAGCCCCCACCAACTACTGCACCTCCACAACCTGTTACAGACAAGCCAGACAGCACAGCTTCACCAGCACCACCACCACCGTCCCCGCACCCACCTCACAGCAGTCGCCGCCACCACCACAAAAGCCGGCGAAACCACCGTGGTCGCCACCGCCACCATCGCCGACATCGACATCACCGCCACTCAAAACACCACAGCCCTACCAGGCGACGTCGCTCGCCCTCAACTTCCACCTACTCTTACAGCCCCACACCATCACGCAGCCGATCCCCACAACCCATCGACCTACGACCCAACACCGACAACGCCAACACTGTGACCCTTCTCAATATCCCACGACAGCAGTTATCCGTCGCCCAATCAACCGCTGGCGACCTCCACCCAATTTTCAAGCCCTCTCACCAACAGACCAACTCCTCGACTGGTTCGAATTCCACGCCAACCAACTCGACTCTCCCAACCGAGCACAACACCAATACATCGCCAATCTCCTCACCGACTGCCACATCACCTACAAAGACATTACCGATTTCCGACAATACACCCATGCGAAGTGGAATGAAACCACTCGCCAATATGACCAATTCCAATACAACGCCATCACACTTCCCTTTCTCAACACCAAAGCTACCACACCAGAGCCACCAGCAGTTTCCCGTGCCACCTCTACCCACCGGGAAGTTGCCCATATCAATGCCGGCCATACAGGCCCGGTCGGCAACATTACCAACATTTTACGCCAAGGACGCTTCCTACCCAGCACACTCCACTTTGCCAACTACCCTGGTTTCTTCGCTCAGGGCGTCCGCATCACCCACAACCCAAACCGCGACCAAAGCGAGTTTGCCCGCATCATTCACAACACTTGGCAACTCCACAAAAACACTCACTCACTTATCATCACACTCCTTGCCTGGGGTGCAGCCACCAAATATACTTCCGGTGGCGAAGAACAGGCCATGACACTCCTCAATCAACACCGCGGCGCTGTTTTCCACCAGAAGGGACGATGTTGGGTGATTCACCCAGACCATGCTATCGTCAAAGGACTAGCATGGTCCACCAACGCCACTCCACCTGATCTATGACATCACCATCCACTACCTCCCAACGACCACCTCCACCTCCACCCTTCGTTTCACGCCACACATACCTTTGCCCACAGCAAAAAGAAGCTAGCGCTGAGCTCACGCGGTCCTATCGAGTTTTCAAATTTTTTAAAGCACTGCCGAATTTGATCTGCAGATTTGCTCTGAACTTTCTATTAGACCATTCGGATGCAGATTTTACTTTGTGAAGACTCCACTTGCAATGTCGTTTCTTACTTTCACTCTGTACTTTTGACCATTCCGACCTGTCTTTTGTGCTCGATTAATTCGCACGCACGATCCCGTGATGACATGCTGCCGGCCAGCTGCCGCATAGCCGCTTTGCCGCGCTGCAGCTGCGACCGGGGACGAACTCTTGCTTACCGACTTTGATATCCACCTACATCATGAACAGCACTGAATCAGCTCCACATCATGACACACAAGCCATTTTACACCAAGCCACTACAGCACTTTCACAGGTTCAAAGCCTCCGACAAGCAACAGACATCATGGCACACCTCCACACCCAGTTTTTACACCACATCCGGCAGGCGGACCCCACCTTCCGCCAGACTTTCCAACAGCTACCGCCACCACCAATCAACTTACCTTCTCCCACTTCCTCCTGCGATTCGGCACCTTCCAGACCACCTGTTCGCATACCGCCACCACCATCCAACAACTCAGACGACACACCTTCACCCACCCCACCTCCACAACCTCCCACAACTCGCAAGCGCAAGCCACCACCACTACCACCACTCAACCAGCAGGCAGATTGGGACGCATGGGATGGCGACGCCGATTGTCGCCTTGTGGAACTCAAAGGCAATCCCAGACTCCGCCCCAATTGGATTTTTGTCGCTCGACGAGTTGGATTCTCCGTCGAGCAATGTCGAGCCCGATGGAAAGAACTACAAGACCTGCAACGATTACAGGACAAACAACTCTCCACCACTTCACTACCGACAGAACCCCACCAACAGGAACCTTCCCCTCCACCCACTCCCACCTCACCGGCAGGCTCACCGCCACCACCTTCACAACCAGATTTTTCACCTTCCCCCATGACAACACCTCCGGTACCACCAGCAGAACCACTCACAGATGATGCGCTGCCGCTGCCGGCTGCTGAGCGAGCGCCTTTGAAGAGCCAGTACATGGCATTGGAGTCTCACATTCAAAGAGCAGATGAAAATGATGTTTGTTCCTGGCATGCCAAGCCTAAGTGGCACTTGGCTGACCATATTTTTGATTTAGCCTGGGAAGGCCACAACCCTAAGGATTTCTGGAATTATAGGGATGAAACATTTGCATCCTCCATGCAGCAGTGGGCACTCAGAAGGGGTGGGAAGAGAAATGCAAGCAGTGAAGCAGAGAAAATCCTCCTTTGTTTCATGAATGACACACCCCCTCTGAGTGTCAACTTGCCCAGCTCAGCCTGAAGAAGGCCCAAATCCGATGTCCAGCTTCAGCCTGAAAGAAGGCCATGCAACCATAGGTACAATATGTTTCACCTTATATCACCCAGTAGTGCCAAGGAAAAAGATGCACGTGCTGATTTGCAGAAGCCACTTTTCATGGCTTCCCAGAAGCGCTTCTTGGATTCCAAGAAGCACTTCTGGGAAGCCACTTTTTGTAGCTTCTAGAGTTCAAAACCCAGAAGCCACTTTCCATGGCTGCCAGCCTAAAATCTTAGCTTCCACCAGAAGCTACTTTTAAAAGTGGTTGCTCCCTCTTCCTCTTGCATCATCTCCAGGAGGTGATCGTGCATGGGCTTGTTGCAACCGACATCTCTGTGAAAGTTATTCCTTCGATCTCGAATACAGGTCAGAATATCCAGCATGTAGACAGTTGTATTCGTCGTGCAACTACTGGTATGAAATCTTGGCTGAGCGTAGTTCCTCGATGAGTTGAATCTCTCGTTCTTCCATACCTTTTGCATCCTCGATTTCTACCCTTTCAATACTCCTCTTGGGTGATCTGGCAATATTCGTTCTTGGCCATGTTGACCTCGTAAATCTTTTCATTGCCTTCTTTGCGTTGACCGTACCTTCACCTGATATTCGAGACCCTGTGGGCGTAGTCATTACTGTAGCGTCTGCTGAACTCGCACCAGTCATTGAGCCTGGCGACGATTGCGACATAGCTCCTCCAGGTGCAGCGAAGGAAAACTGCTCACTGCTCTTTCCTCCGGAACGAGACATTGCAGGTCAACTGTCGACAATCTTCTCTTTCCCCTGTATATGTCTATGCGCGTCAAACGAAATTGGTCGCTCCTTTTTCCGCTTGTGGACACTTGAGACCAAAGTCAGCAGGCGCTATACATTGTCTCTGCATATCTTGTGGCCTTATCACTGCACTTACATTGACATCTATGTAAATATCGTGTATATATATATATATATATTTGTTATGGTAGCACTTTCGTCTTTTCAGTCCTTTTGGGTTCAATGCCCTTGGAGACGAGGTAGTCGTACGCAGCTTCCACGTCGGCGTAGGTGTTCCCGGAGCTGGCCCTGGCACGTACTGAAGGCTCTAGTCTTGTCTCGTTGTTCTGGCTTTGTCGTTCTTAGTTTTTCTTGTTTTTGTCTTTCTCTCTTTTGCGTCCTTCACTTTTCTCTTTTGTTTCTTTTGTCTCACGCTCGTTCTCTGTCCTTTCACTCCCGCAGTTCTCTCTCGTTCGTTGCCTCGTGGTTTCTTTCGATGTTTGAAACATCTTAAGCACTGATGCGTTTGACCCTTGTTCCTCCCCTCAAACCCTCTCAAATCGTAGCTTCCTTTTTTCTTCAGCCATCCAGACATCATCTGAACAGGCAGACAATAAATCACAAGCTGTGAACATTGACACCCACTTTAAGAAAGCAAAGGTTCGAAGCGTTATACAAAAACTACCGAGTTTACCCGCGAAGTTCTGGGCCACATGCTACGCAGCGCAAACGTGATTGAAGAAAAAATGCCTTCATCCCCGGCCAACCCCTCAGCCCCCCGAATCAAATCCAAGCAACAAAAACGATAGCCAAAAAACAACAAATTAACGGCGAAATCATAATACACAAAATCTGCTTCACTACGCGCGCGGATTTTCAGCCTGGTCGCAATGCTAGCAAAGGCGCAAAGCGCAGTTCACAAGATGGGAACACCAGGCCTAGGACAGCACAAAGTTCTTGGTAAGCGTTCACTGAAGTCGCCTTTGTTCTTTGCGCTTTACCCCTCCCAGAAAAGGGAAAAGGCAAAGTCATGACAGTATTGGGCACAATCATCACCCTCCTCAAGGTCCAATCCTTGGAAGCCAGAAGCCTCTTCGTTCAGTGTTCTTTCCTAATGGCTTCTGCTGCGGCTCATTGACGAATTTAGCCCAGAAGTCGTCGTCGTAGCCCTTTTCTCGCGGCGGCATAGGTCAGACTTCCTTAATTTCCATTTTATTTCTGTCTTCCATGGATTCCATGGAATCGTTGATTGACGAAACAATGTATGACTTGATGTCCTCCAAGGCCACGTTGCCCCCCGACATCCTCGAAGGCATTATCACTCCAACCTACGTAGCTGTCGTTGCTCTCAATGGACGGTTTGAAGATCGCTCGCTCGAACGGCTGGAGCTGCAATTCCACTCTGGAGCAGGCTACAATACTGGGATGAACCGTGGGTTTGCAACAGTTACTAGAAGTTATGAGGTGAGTTGTAAGTGTTATAACATTTACAGGTCCAAGATATAACCATTTACAAAACTGGTTGTAAGCTGTTAGAACTACTTATAACTACGTAAGTATGCTAAATGGTTGTAAAACTTAGCATCAATGATGTTATATAAGTAGTTGAAAAGTTTATTGAACTTATGACTTCAAGTTGCTAAGTGTTAAAGAAGCTACACTATAGTATACCATGTTATACCATACTTATACGGTTTATATAAGTATGTTATAAATACACTTACAATGCCTAATAACCTTTATAAACCCACGGTTCATCCCAGTATCGTAGTTACTGTATTCTCTGACAAGACCGCGCAGTCGGTCGGTCAGTTGGTTTGCATCTGTAATCTGGAGCGGGTGGCCGACCGCGACGCTGCGTTCTCTGACATTGTCGGTTTCTGTCTGGAGCAAGTTTGACTGTAGCTCTCCTCAGCCAAGCGTTTGCAAGTCTAAATAGATTTCGCGCCAGCAATTGGTCGAGCACTGCGCGCCGCAAAAAGGTGAGCGTGCAGAATTGACAGTTCCAGACGAAACACTTTGGAATGTTGTTATACACGCAAACGAATGTTATTAACGCTGGCCTGGGCTGAGTCCGGCCCATGGTCCGCAGCACCACTTGTCTGCCGGCCAATATTATTTTAAAAGCCTGTAGGCGAGAAAGGGAAAAAAACAAACTGAAAGGAAAAAACACAATACGTCGCGCATGAGCAAGATCTCAGATTAAACAAAACATGCTTGGAATCCTTCAAAGTGTCTTTGACGATGGCTCTGCAGCTTTGGAGTCAGCAATCTCACGATTAAGCCATCGGATCAAGAAGAGTCAGGTGAAACAGCATTCAATATTTATCGGCGCTGAAGATGGGATCACAGCCCGCCACAAACAAACTTGGCAAAGAGCTCAGGTGAGCACGGGGTCACGCGGCGACATGTCCACATGTTAACAAATGTTAACAAATTTCATGACCCTGCACATTTAACAAATGCGAGGCTGGCGCCAGTCAAGCCCTTAGAATCAGAGGTTGACACACACATGATTTGTATAAAGTAAACACTAGCTGATACGCGCCCTGGCGAAGCCTCAGTGGAAAAGCAAAACTAGAAGGGCAGCAGCGTCTTCAGCGCAACTTAATTAACTGTCACTTCGAAGGGCACATGGACCCCGTCAAAGCACTTGACTCGAAGCAGTTAATTTACGCGCTCGCCCCTTGTGGTTTTTCAGTGTTTCGTCTTCAGAGCGTCGCGCAGGTTCTTCTTCCCCTTCACTCACTCCTCTCCTGCCCGAAGCTGCTCCATATCCCGCATACTCCACACCACAAACCTTCAGGGCCCGACTTTTCGGTGAACGAAGTGGGCAACACTCTTTGAACAGTTTTCTTCTCAAAAAGGTCTTATGTCTTGTCTGGTCATTCTATTTTACGGTTGAAACCCAGCAGTTTACCAGAAACAGATTTTCGACTCTCAAACCGCGGAGCGCGCCTCAATGCCCAAGACTTTGGCCAATTCGTAGTACGGGCCCATCATCATCCTGTCGGGAATCGAAAAAAGAAACGCTTCGCGGCAATTTGTTGTTGGCATTCTTTAGCCCCCCTTGCGCGGCATTTGTTCGCGTAGCTGCTTCAGTAGTTCTTTGCTATATACGTCGCGTTTCGCAAAGCTCTGAGCCGATGTGCCCAATATCCGTCGCGTTGCCATGGCAATGCAACAAGACCTGCCCGAGCAGTCTCACGCGACCTGCCCTTTGCAAGCAGCGTTTCGATTTCCTGCCCCAGTTTCTTTTCACTTGTCGTCCAAAACTGAAGACTTCTCAGCGCTTTTCTTCTTCTTGTCTTGAAAGTTTTTTCTTTGTGAGCAGTGACCAAGTCTCGAGCAAGCGGCCTCAGGCAAACGAAAATGCAAAAGGACAAGAAGAAAAGGCGCGCTTGTTTACTTCCTGAGCTCTTCCATCGGCTTACCCCCTAGTCCGACATTTGATGGCCTAGCCTTTTGGGTTCCAACAAAGTCTATGAGCACTTGAGCACTTACAACCTCTTGGAGGGTTGATCAGTGACGTGGGTAAGGCTCTTGGAATCGGAAGGGCTCAGCCAGTCGTTTCTTGAGCCGAAGTCATGGCGGCTCTGCGCGCGGCCAAGGTTCAGGGCTTGCAGGAGCAAAGGCACCGGTCACGTGTCAGGTCCTCACTCTTCTGCTGATCTAAGCCCTAAAGGTCACTGATAGAGGTACGACTGTGCACTTGGCATTTCAAGCCATCGGTCCAAATGGACCACTCCCCAACATGCAGAAGCCCGAATTCCCACGCCCTCAGGAGATTTGAGAAGGTGGGATGTGAAAGTTGTTTCGAATAATCGCCATCAGTGCGGCAGCCTCGCACGCTCAGCGCTTAAACATCACGCAGGCTTCACTCTTCCAGAGTCCTTCGCCAGAAGCTCGAATTACTCGGGGCCAAGTTGTGGTTGGCCGTGCGCCAGGCAGAACCGATTGCGAAAAAGGTGACAAGCGCCAACCCTCGTTCCGATTCAAAGCTTCAAGCGCGCGTCAGCCAACCCTGGACCAACAAGCCCTCGGAGCGGGTCGAAGTGCACGACGAGGTTTCAGAAGTATATATGCCGCCGACGATGGTCAAACCTGGCTTCCACATGTCGTTTGACACGTCTGCGACCATCAACCCGCGGCACTACTGCCCACTGCCAGCGACGAAGTCGAGACTGGCAACATTGGTGAGGCAGGTGTAGAATGTAACCAGCAGCACGCGCTTGCAGCGATCCACTCATCAACCAGATGAAGTTATTGTTTCCCTCCCAGACAGGCAGCTACACACCATCACTTGGAGCCCAAGAAGCAGCATTGAATGACAGCTCATGGCACTTGCCCTGATGACCTTTTGGTCCTCTGCCGACTGGTGTCGACTATTGGCCACTTCCTGGGCCCCTTGACAGAAACCGGAAATTGTAGCGTTTCCTGCAGCGCAATGCTTCGCGAAGAAGAGCAAGAGTTTGCGGAAAGGCAAGAGGATCCTGGGCTGTCGCTGGGCGCTGAACTGGTGCCACGCCCCCAGAAGATGACAGTCCTCGCAAAGTTTTTCAGAAGAAGAGTGAAGCGACTCTGCTCACCTTTGACCGCAGAAGCCCACATCGTTCTCCCAATTGGGCTAGCAGCGTGCTTCTGGTGGTGAAACACGGCTGGCCCTTCGCCTGTGGTTGCCAAGACTGCCACGTGCAAACAGGTGGTATCCAATGCTGCAGCATTACTTGAAAAGCTCTCTTACAAAAGCGTCAAGGATGGAATATTCAGGTGGCTGGGACGTCCATGTGGCTGGGACGTCCATGTTGCGCACCTGGGGGGGATGCCATTCTGAGCCGACGCCGCGCACGTTAAGTTAGTGAGCGACGCATCGATCAAATGTCTTCCCCCCAACCGTTCGCAGTTCTAGCGGCAAGCAGAGGGTTTGTAAGTGGGCGCGCCCTTCTGCTAGGATACACCCGCAAAGAACTGCGGGCGTCTGCGCACGCACAAGTGAAATGCTCTAGGCCCAACTACATGAGCGCCATAGGCAGGGACTACAACAGCTTGGAGAGAAAGCGACGCCAAAGGGGAAACTCTTCTAATCCTAGGCAATTTCAAAGACTCTCTACTAGTGTGGGGGCTTATAGGCCGAGATTTCATGACGAGAAGGGGCCTTGGCTGGACACTGTCGTCTCAAAGCGCCGCTCAGCTTGAGTGACCTAAAGCCTTTTCTAGAGGGCGATGAAGAGAAATATTTCCAAAACCGGCTCTTTAAGAGATGGAAGAATGCTGCGGAAATGGACATCCGCCCCTAGATTGCGCCGTCGGTTTGCAGGAAAGGGCAACTGTTGAAACGTCTCAACATTCCTCTTGATAAAAGCAACAGACCCGGTTGCAAGGCTACAAGGTAAGAACCTCTCTCAGCTGCAAACTGAAATTGATTTGATTGACAAACACTCTCTGATAGTGTTCAAAGAACTATGTCTCTTTTCTTTTGATTATTTATTGAATTTTCGGTTTCACCGCACAGTGTCCCGTCTTCCTGAGCATGGGACGGGGACGGGTCAATCGACTGGCGAATCGGGCCACGTCGACAAAAGAAAAGTCAAGAGAAGAAGAAAATACAAAAACAACAAATAAAGAATTTTCTGGTGAGTGGGTGTTCCAAAGTGATTGGGGGTTCTAGGCTTTGTGTGCGCGTGGGTCATCAGGATTCTAAGGCGAAAGCACCACACTAATTACAGCTATGGTGCGACTTCGAGCCATAAACAAAACTATATATAATATAATATATATATTACATTCTGCGTATAGTCTATATATTGATAATATGTGAGTCTAATTGTCGGATATGTTTAAAATGAATATTTGGAGGGGCTTACAATATCCACACACAACATGGGGTGGAAAACATTTTATGCTTCCCTTGCTACACTGCTTGCCCCCTAGACACTGACTGAATGTACTTCGTCCTTTTTCCGATGCCACAAATGAAACATCACATTGGGAGTGGGTCATCCTCATCCTGCATGACATGACAAGGTGCGGGGCTGCTGGTCTGTCAGCTTTGGATGAGGGCTGTCTCAAAGGCAGAATTTCTTCCGCCCACTATCATAGTATTCCAGCTGACACAAAGCTTCTGACCACCCAATCATTTCCAACCACCCATTCACCAGAAATTTCCTTAAATCCTTTGGTTGCTATTAAAAGTGTGCGTTCTTAACATCGTTTAGGCCGAAATATTCTTAACGTCTGTCCTTTTTTGTTCTGACTCTTCGTTTGTCTTGTTCTTCTAATCTTTTCGTCTCTCATTTCTTATCGCCTCATCTCTGACCTCCCGCTCGGTCACAATCTTCTCTCTACGAAGCCACACCATGGGAACATAGTTCCCGGTCCTGTGCGGGCGTTCTGCGTCAATGTTTTTCTCGACAGAAATCAAGCCGAACTTGACGAAATAGACAGCCGAATTAGACATCGCCTCTATCTCCTTTCTACGCGCTGCGTGGCGCTCGGTGCTTCGCGGCACTCCTGGTCGTCAACCAATGCATTTCCGAAGCCTCGAAAAAGCAAAGCGACGCACAGTGGCGCTTCTTGGGCCAACAAAGGCCCACAGAGTTGCCCAAAAGGCACCCAAGAAGACTCGGCTTCAATTCGTCACTTAACCAGCCTAATTCTTTCATATTCTGGCTTTCTCTGGCTGTCTCTTTGCCTTTCCACATCTGTTCTTTCAGTTCAAGTTTCCCGGAGCAAAATCAATCACGCAAGGGCTTCTTAGTCCCCTTCCTGAAATGTAGTTGGCTTCTGCTTTTGCGTCTAAGAATTGGTAACAAGTGCCTCGCTTCTAGAAACAAGTGCCTTACTAGTAGTAACAAGAAGCTACTAGTAACAAGCGCATCGCTACTAGTAAGAAGTGCTTTACTACTAGTACCAAGAAGCTACTAGTACAAGTGCATCGCTTCTAGTAACAAGTGCCTTACTAGTAGTAACAAGAAGCTACTAGTAACAAGTGCGTCGCTACTAGTAAAAAGTGCCTTACTACTAGTAACTAAGAAGCAATTAGTAACAAGTGCATCGCTACTAGTAACAAGGGCCTTACTACTAGTAACAAGAAACTACTAGTAACAAGTGCATCGCTACTAGAAACAAGTGCCTTACTACTAGTGACAAGAAGCTACTAGTAACAAGTGCATCCCTACTAGTGACAAGTGCCTTACAACTAGTGACAAAGCGCCTTACAAGTAGTAACTAAGAAGCTTTCAGTAACAAGTGCTTAGCTACTCGTAACAAGTGCCTTACTACTAGTAACAAGAAGCTACTAGTAACAAGTGCATCGCTACTAG